CGCACAAAAGTTTTGTGCAGTACATAACTGCGCTAGAACAATAATATATATACTGTCGTGTTATTATGCAGTGGAAAATGGCTAATGTTCATTGTGCTGCTCGGTTTTGTCATAATAATAATAGAGACAATGCAAATCTGAGTTTTTTCAGATTTCCATCATTAATGAAGAAAACGCTTAGGAAAGAAGCTATACCGGCGCTACGCGGTTTGAAAACGACACCTGCTAACTTTAGTAACACAGGATTTACAAGGAAATACACCTTCAGAAAGATAACAATATGATTCCGAAGAATATTCCACTCCATTAAACCGAGGAAGAGTTGATACCGAGGTTGATACCCCGAATTTAACAGGAAGTAGAAAGGTTTCAACACAAATGTCGCGGACGCTATCCTATAGTACGTCACGAAAAAAACAAATTAAGAAAAGAAATCAGAACTCTAACTAAAATTTCAAAGAGTTCAAAGTCAGCGGTAAGTAATTTGACAGAGGACGATTTTCAAGAATTATGCGACAAGTTTTTGAATTCAAAATTGTCGTCTTTTATAAAAACGCAAATCCAGCAGTCCCAGTATAAAACTAGACGTGCGCAGTACTCTAATGAAATTAAAGAATTTGCTATGAGTGTTTATTTTTTAAGTACAAATTGTCAACAAACATTTTTACTTTACCGTCAAAACAAACGATGGGGCGTATAACTCCAAAATGACCTATTTCAGATGAGTTAAATAAATTTGTGTTTAATACAATTAAAAGTAAAGTAGCCACTCTTAAAGATAATGCAAAAGACTGCATCCTCTGTTTTGGTGAAATTTCTCTAAAACCAAATTTGTTTTACAATAGAACGATAGATGAAATCGTAGGATTTCAATCAATTAATGGAAAAAAAACTTTGTCTCTTGCTAATTCAGCGTTAACTGTGATAGCTCGGTGAATCCACTAAATAGCTGCTCTGGTGAAAATTTGGAGTCTATAATTATGACAACAAAATCCCAGTTTAAAGAAAACCTTATTTTTGAGTAAATGGAAAGACATGATTTTATTTGATGTTCCTCACTTAATAAAGGCAACGAGAAACAATGTTTTTAAATATAACGTTAAAACCAACTATGGAATTACGGACAAGACATATTTTGAAAAGTTTTATACTTAGTTCCGATTCAAAACGCTCCATACGACTAGTCCCAAAACTGACCGAACAGCATATTCGTCCTAGTCGATTTCAAAAAATGAAAGTTAAACTGGCTACTCAGGTTTTTAGTGCAAGTGTAGCAGCTGCTATGAATACAAACATGGCATTAGAAGGGTTACCCGCAAGTGCTCACGCCACTATTGAGTTAATAATGAATTTCGACAAATTATTTGACATCTTTAATTCGTCGCAGATGTCTAAGAATCGCAAAGAATTTAATTTACCTTTTATGGGCTCTGCTAACCGATTAATTTTTAAAGGAACAACTGCCATTTTTCCAGACTTTGCGAGTTTACTCCAAGGAAAATAAAGATGTAACTTCCACAAATTGGACGTCTTCTGTCAATGCTGAACCAGGGGTTTTAACGGAAGTTTTCAACGCCTTATCAGGACTTCCACTTAAAGATCGGGATTGTAATCTAGTTGTAGATGATATGGCTATTCGAAAACAGCTCATGTTGAACCCTAAAGTATGTAAATATGTGGGAGGTTGTGGCTTTGGGAATGAATTACAGCTGAATAATTCACAAATATTAGCCACGGAAGCGTTAATATTTATGTTAATGAGTCTTAATGGCAAGTGGAAATGGCCCATTGGGTATTTTCTCTACACGCGCAGTACAGCTGTTGCACAAGCTGTATTGATAAAAACTAGTTTGAAGTCATATGCTCAAGTTGCTTTGTGAGTATGGGGTGTAACTTGTGATGGAGCATACAATAATTTTTCAACTTTATATCACTTGGGAAGCAATATTAATTATCAAAATTTTGAAAGCAGAAAAAAACATTGTGAACTTGAGACCCACTGTTTTAAACATCCTATCCAATAAGACAAGGTTTATTTTATCCCTGACGCTTGTCACAATGATGGCATTGCATTACTAAACTTCATGACATTCAATATAGTATTGCCTTAAAATTTGCAAATAAATTAAGTAAACTGGATGATAGAATTTTTGACTTTTTAAATAGTAGAACTCCTTTTCAAAAAGGTTGTAAGGCACCAATTTGCCCACATAATATTTCAAATTTGAAGAGCTGCATTTCTCCCTGCGTAGAATATTTGATTACTCTATACGATAAAACTAAATCAATTTGTATATACTTATAGGCAGGGCCGGTCCTAGTATTTTTGGCGCCGGGGGCAACATTTTCAAGAGCGCCTATGTAGATGTGCCTAGAGGGTTTTTTTTGTAGGTATTATAAAACAAATGAAACATTTAAAACAGGTTTGATTTTTACAACTAACAAGTGAAAAAAATACCTATATAGACAATTATATTAATTTATATTAATTTTGCGGGCTTTAATGTTGGCAAATTGTTGGATGATTTTATGAGGGTCTATTTCTTTAGCAATGTCTTTTTCAATAGATATAATAGCGAGATCGTTAAGCCTATTTTGTGTCATTGTTGACCGAAGGTAATTTTTTATTATTTTTAATTTAGAAAAACTTCGCTCTGCTGAAGCGACTGAAACTGGGATGGTCAGTAAAAGTTTTAGGGCAATTACAATGTTCGGGTACAATGATAATATTTCGTTTTTGTGCAAATAATTTAGAACATCTATTGGTGCGAATACACTGGGTGGTAGCAACAAATTTTGTAACTCCCTATACAAACCGTTACGATCAACGTCTTCATTTTCTTCATCTGTCAATGCCAGTTGAAGGTCCATACAATTAACAACTCATTTGATGGTATATCTTTTAAATTTTTGAAATTATATAAAAAGCTAAAGAGCTCACAGTGTTCTTGAAGAAGCTGAAACCTTTCTGATACCGCATTTATTGCAACATCTAAAATTACATAATAAAATTCAATTTGGAATTTTTTTTGGGGATCTATAATATTTTCATCTTTAGTCTCATAATTAAAATTTCTTCAAGGAACCCTCTTGTTTTTTTATTTCTGCTTGTTTTGCAATTTTTCTTTTATAGTTATCCCAACCAGATAATTTTCTTTTCATTCCAAGTACGGACATCTGTTAATTTCAGACATATTTTTTTTAATTTCTTATATACATTCAGTGGGCGGATGTAATTTTATATTTTGAATTTCATTTTTCTTACCTTTGTTAAATCACTGACACTGAAAGAATTCACGTTATACTAATACAATGTTATTAAAAGAAAGCACAAATGAACGACAAACTAGTTTTTGTTTGTTTCGTATGCTTGTAAAGACAAGACTAAACTGTGACTAAACTTATTTTGCGAAAATTCGGGGACAGAAAATGTGTTTCTCCTCTAAAATAAAAAGTATACATTACCAAACAAAGATGACGACACATGAAGTGATTATTTATTAGTGCCTAACTGCCTAATATATATTGGGTCTCGGTGTCTGACAGTCCGACTTCCGGTCTTGACGGCCAAGGCGCCAGGCTTTTACCCGCAGGTCGGTTTAAAGCATAAAGATATCGCATACATTTTAGCGAAGGCGTTTACTACCCGATTCCGAAATCTAGAAAAAAATGCATCTGTTTCAAATATTTTTAATAATTTGAAATTGAATTTAGCCACATTTGGCGCCTGTTTCACGTTGCCGCCTATGGCAAGTGCCTCCTCTGCCTCCCCTGTTAATCCGGCCCTGCTTATAGGTAACAGGAAAACATTTATTAATACTCAACAATTGTTCACCAATACTGATAGCTGTTTGAAATATCTTTTAACGTACAAATTTTCACAGGATCATACTGAATTGCTATTTTCACGCATAAGAAAACGTTTTGGTTTTAGCAATAATCCAAACGTTTAACACAGCCTCAAAGCAAATTTTATTAAAGAACAATATAACAGCATGTTCCGCTTCAAATTGTGTAGCCTTGGATTCAGATCCTTCAGGTAGGATTTTCTAAGCAAAGTGGAACAAGAAATCGCAAGAGGACAATGATGAAAAAGAAATGTTACATGAAGATTTCTTAATAAATAATATAACGAAAGACAACATATTATTTTACATATTTGGGTATATTCTTAGAAATATAAGTAAAAATAACAAAAACGTTATGTTCTAAATGTGTTTTCAATGCAGTTAGGAATTCAGGGGAACATAATTACCATCACGTTTCCGAGTAATTCTCTGTTACTTGATGCAAAAAATAGGGCTGGTCAAAGAAACAGAACGCGAACTTTTTATTGTCACTAAGGGTTTTACACAACTTTCGCAGTCAAACATTGAAAAAAATATATATGTTTCGTATGAAAAGTCATTTTGTTAATAATATTTTCTTAAATTTCACCTGTGACAATGAGAGTGTTGGGACATATCACAAAATTGAATTTATAATTTTAATAGTGAAATGTTATATTAAAATACAATTATTTAGTCTTCGAAAATTATTTTCCCAACACAAGATGGCTGCCAGTAAGCCGCATCAGTTTACAAAATTTATTTTGTTTATGAACTAATAAGCCAACTAGAATGTAAAAATAAACATTTCTTGTGACTATTTTGTTTTATTTCCAAATGCTTGCTAACCTTTTTTCAGTCAACTAGCAACATTTATTAATATAATATGGCCCTTAGTTTTATTATATATAATATATAATGTTTTTTTATAACTTTATATATCTTTTTTCCTTATGTTAAACAACAGTGCTGCTCAAGACCTCGCGAATCCACGTTATTCCGGACTCCCCTAACTGACTAAATTGATAGATATAACCTAACTTATTTCTTAAAATGTTCGTATATTTCGGCATTTCAAAAATCCAAAAGTAGGTCAACACACGCATGTTGATAATCGTTTAGGTACATTGGCCACTAGGCCATTTTGCCGAAGCTTTTTGAAAGGAAACTTACCAAGTTATAGCCGATTGAAACCTTCTTTTGAAACAAGTCACACGTGGCCACTGTCATTATCACGAACTACGAAGTCTAGTCGAAACGGGTAAAATTTATCTAAATGTAAATATGCAGTCGCGACTTATCGAAGAACAATTAATTTAAATTAAAACACACCCGAGACGGTAAAAACTCGTACCGTACCACACAATGAACCGCCAAACGCCATACCATTGATAACAATTGTCCATTGTGACCACTTCGACAACGTTTAATGTTTATAAATAGGAAACATGTAAACACATGTACACACCATCACCAAATACTCCATTAGTCCCGAACCTAACCTAACGACTTCACGAGTAACAAGTAACAAAGGTCGAATATCCCCAGATGATTTTCTCCCTAACATGCGTCGCTCAGGTAGGCAACGCCGCACACAAGTGGACTCGCACCAAATGTAGGCAACCAACTATACATACCATTTAGCTCGTACGAATTACGATAACGAACGGAGCAAGTAGTTCCACGTTTAGGACAGGCACGTAACCAAGGGGGGGCCAGGGGGGGGCACAGTGTGTCACCCCTGGTGCCCCCTTAAATTAATTTTAAATTTTAAATGTAAAGCAAATTCGAAATTTCCGATCAACGGTAAATTTTAGCTATTAGTAATCTTCTTATGTTCTTATCTTGTAATATAACTCTCTGAGTAAAGCGATACTGCTGTGAACAGTTTTGTCGATAACTTTTTTTAAGAATTATCCAATACAACTGATATGACTTTTTTTTGGAGGCCCCATTATTTGAAATTGGTGCCCGGGTTGGGCCCCTCCAAAATAAAAGGCTGGTTACGTGCCTGGTTTAGGAGTATGTTTGTAATGGGGTGCAAAGCGCCCTGCCTCCACTATAAAACCCAACATTACAACCACGCGTGTTGGTGACTATAAAAAGTTAGGTTATGTTAGCAACAGCTGCCTTAACAGTGAGATCAAACATGCACTCGAGTGTTACCAGAGACATTGATTAAATACATATAGATAGACCCATGCTATTGTTTGGAGCGAACAGGCCAACGGCCGGCGAACAAGAGATGGCGCACCAACAGTCGGCCGTCAAACGCCGGCGAAAAGCTTGGACACCAATCGCGCGCGTAGATAACCCAAATCACAGCAACAATACATTTAATAAAGCTACCACTCGACAGAGGGCGACGAAAACAATGTTTAAAATTTTATAGTAACCATTTATATAATTTGCAACGTTGCCAGATGAGCCTAGCACAACTTTGCCGTTATTTCTAGTCGATTAGATTTTATTTCGTTTAAAAGTTTCTGGTGAATAAATGGAATTATTATAATGAATAAACAATACAAACAAATTATTACTTGTTATTTTAAATACTTGTTAGTGTTGATGAAAACATAAATGGTAATTAAAGTTATTCTAAATACGGTCCGGTAGCTCAAATTTTACAGTACGAGTGATATGTTTCAGGACGAGTAGGTAGCCGAGTCTTTAATTTCGAAACGAGTACTGCGAAAAGAGTTACCGGACGTATGTTGTTATGTATTTTATTTCATACTGTCAACATACTTTTTTATTCGATAATATTATTATTATTTTGAGAAAAAATCCAAATCGAGTCACTTTTTCTGACATCGTTAGCAACCGCTCTTTGGTAAATGTTTTAATTTGTTTATTCGTGCAAATCAGCATCATATGTTTAAACACATAGTACTTATAACACTTTACAGGACTTATTGTTTTGTATAATCCGACTCGATGGACGAATGTTTTGTGCAATCCGTCTCGAAGGACCAATGTTTGTGCAACTCGGCTCGTCCTACCAGTATTTTTTGTAATCTGGTTGATACGACAATGTGATACCGAATTGTACTTTGATATTGCTCCAAGGACCTTTGTTTTCTTGCGTGCGAGATAATAGACAGCGTTCGGTTTCGATGTTTAATACAGGACGGTTACAGAAATACTAAATTTACATTTGTATTTACAATAACAGGTAAAGCAAAAGAGACCCAAAAGGGTCAGTGGCCGCTTCCGGAAATGGAACACTAGTCCTTTTTGGCTCAATTTTATCGGACTTGTCCGTTTTTTTGATTTTACCGGAATCGTTCGATCCAGTAAAACGTCAAACTTGACATAGTATAAAGTAAAATAAATAAATTTTATTCAATTTTGACATGTAAACAAACGTTTATTTTGCCGTCAGTAGGCCACTAAAGCTTTGGTTTATCCGGTAGCACCATAAAATTTTTAAACCGCTAGCGAAATAAAATTTTTATTTTGCTGTTTTAAAACCATGGTTACCATTTCTGTAATTTCTCCAATGCCTTGCTGCTCTTTCCATCTAAGGAACTTTTGATACACTTTCTGATTTGCTCTTTTTTGGGAGCAAGTTTTGCCGTTGGAATCTTGCATGATTTTGCAATTTTTCGATAATTTTAGTTTGTTTAAAATAAACAAACACCGTCGCCAGAGTCACATACTACACACACACACCTGATATTGTAACCTAAATTCTACGCATATAAAACTTTTATTTGGTCGCTGTCAATTCTGACGTTTCTCGAATGTGAACTTTGAATCACCAATTTTTTCACAATTTGGGACTTGGGGTTGTCAAAATTGAATAAAAGTTTGTATTACACTCGCGGTTAAAATGAATGTGTAACTCGTGGTCTTAGGGCGCTCGCGGCATACGCCGCTCTCGCTTTAAACTGGCCGCTCATTAAACATTCACTTTAACCGCTTGTATAATAAATAACTATTATGATGTAAATACAATTAAGTATATCGATAATTCGCTACTGAAAATTTATTGAAATATAATTTGTGTTAAAAAAAGATTTTTGTGGTTTTATGGTTTATTAACATAATTTACTTATTTGAAATTAAATATTTTTAATACATAGCACAAGTTCTTGATATTCTTTATTTTTATTCCAAGTAATAATTGTGTTTCCTTTAGTTTTAATCAAGAAAATTTTTCGGTTATTATCTAACATACTTTTGTACATTAAGAAACTCCATTCCACGTCACAGGACGTTACAGGACAATATTTAAATAAATAAAGAAGTCGTTTTATGTGTTTTAAAATTCACTCTGATTTCCGGACTTTAGACTTTTTGGTGTTTCACTTCGGCACAAGAACTAGTCGTATCTCAAAGAAAACAAACAGTGGAATATACCGTATTGTACCTATATTTCATAGTAAAAATGTCTAAATTTTTTTATGAAGAGACAGACTGTTCTAGGAAACTTTACTAAATCTTTTCATTTACGAGCTATTGAAAGTCCGCCGGTCTCACTGATACTTCTTACTTGGCTCCTACGAATGAAGCGAAAAATGCACAGATTGAAAATATAGTAAATGGGGTAGTATGTATGCGTGATATGTCGTTAGACATTAGGTATTTTGCAAATAAAATTTATTTCATTGAAAACAGAAACAATAAAAAACATATCTGTACAAGTTTGGAATCGATATGGCCAGTTGTTTAGAATATGCAAATATGCTTTTGTTCGTATTTACAATTATTACGAAACAGGTTATCAAATAATCTATTTTCACATGGCGAGACTTTCAAGCGGCCGAAGAATTAAAAACCATAAATTTTCATTGAAGAAACAAACTCTTCCAAGAAAATTACCAAATCTTTTAGTTTACGCACTATTGGACGAGCACTCCTTAAAACGGTCAGTATACCTAATCGCATTATTCCATTGATACCTACCTACCGAAAACGTTGCCAGATGCGCCTAACACAAATTTGCGGATATTTCTCGTCAACCAGATATTATTTCATTTAGAAGTTTCTGGTAAATAAATGGGATTATTGTAATGAACATATAAAACAAATAAATTGTGATTATTATTTGTTGTTTTAACCCATTAGACGCTTATAGGCTTATAAGCATACTTTTCTTGAAAAATCGGTAATAAATTCAGTGAAACATCTTTGTGCCTTAATTCCTATTGGTAAACTGGGATTTTGAATAGAGGTCGCAGGAAAATTTTGTATGGTTTTATGGTTTATTTACATAATTTTCTTATTTACAATGAATGTTTTTGATATATAATACAAGTTCTTGATATTATTTATTTTAATTACATTTAATAAACCATAAAACCACAAAAAACTTTTTTTAACACAAATTATATTTCAATAAATTTTCAGTAGCGAATTATTATCGATACACTTAATTGTATTTACATCATAAAATTTATTTATTTTACTTCATACTATGTCAAGTTTGACGTTTTACTGGATCGAACTATTCCGGTAAAATCAAAAAAACGGACAAGTCCGATAAAATTGAGCCAAAAACACGGAGGTAGAAGAGACACTCTTCTACCTCCGTGGCCAAAAATGACAATTGTTCCATTTCCGGAAGCGGCCACTGACCCTTTTGGGTCTCTTTTGCTTTACCTGTTATTGTAAATACAAATGTAAATTTAGTACTTCTGTAACCGTCCTGTATTAAACATCGAAACCGAACGCTGTCTATTATCTCGCACGCAAGAAAACAAAGGTCCTTGGAGCAATATCAAAGTACAATTCGGTATCACATTGTCGTATCAACCAGATTACAAAAAATACTGGTAGGACGAGCCGAGTTGCACAAACATTGGTCCTTCGAGACGGATTGCACAAACATTCGTCCATCGAGTCGGATTATACAAAACAATAAGTCCTGTAAAGTGTTATAAGTACTATGTGTTTAAACATATGATGCTGATTTGCACGAATAAACAAATTAAAACATTTACCAAAGAGCGGTTGCTAACGATGTCAGAAAAAGTGACTCGATTTGGATTTTTTCTCAAAATAATAATAATATTATCGAATAAAAAAGTATGTTGACAGTATGAAATAAAATACATAACAACATACGTCCGGTAACTCTTTTCGCAGTACTCGTTTCGAAATTAAAGACTCGGCTACCTACTCGTCCTGAAACATATTACTCGTACTGTAAAATTTGAGCTACCGGACCGGACCGTATTTAGAATAACTTTAATTACCATTTATGTTTTCATCAACACTAACAAATATTTAAAATAACAAGTAATAATTTGTTTGTATTGTTTATTCATTATAATAATTCCATTTATTCACCAGAAACTTTTAAACGAAATAAAATCTAATCGACTAGAAATAACGGCAAAGTTGTGCTAGGCTCATCTGGCAACGTTGCAAATTATATAAATGTTTACTATGAGATTTTTACACATTGTTTTCGTCGCCCTCTGTCGAGTGGTAGCTTTATTAAATGTATTGTTGCTGCGATTTGGGTTATCTACGCGCGCGATTGGTGTCCAAGCTTTTCGCCGGCGTTTGACGGCCGACTGTTGGTGCGCCATCTCTTGTTCGCCGGCCGTTGGCCTGTTCGCTCCAAACAATAGCATGGGTCTATCTATATGTATTTAATCAATGCCAGAGATAATAGAGATATGACAGCTCGCAAAATTAAGCGACAATAGTCCTTATGTACTGCGCCCCAAACCGTCACTTTCGGGCGCGCTATTTAAATTTGAGTGAAACTTTCGTAGCGCGGCTATTTGATTACCAGGGATATTACCAATCGTAAGAATATACCAAATGTGGTTAATCTTTCTTCCAAAAATACTAGGTTCCTCATAAATGGAAAAAGACAAGATTAAAAAAATTACAATCATTAAGTTTATTCGAAAAATGATTGTATTATATCTAACATTTGTTGGTGCTTTTGTAATGTTTACATCCTGATTAATAGTAAATGGATAAAAAAAAAACATTAAATTACTCAAAATGCTTGTATTAACTTTTCTTATCCTTTAAAACTCTAAAATGTGCATACACAACACAAACTGTACAATTTTATAGCGAGGATAATAATAAAAGCACCCACTAGCCCATTAGACGATTGTTATTACAATCTAACGTTGAAATTCAAGGACGACACTTTAAGGGGTACAGATACAGTTATAATATTGAATGTTACCTTTTCATTGCGAAGATGACTTCAGTCACTTTTAGTTCTGTGCGGGTGTTAATAAAATTATTTTTATCCTCATATTATTAATAGTTATTTACATCACACTTTATTAGAATATAAGCAAATACAAGCTATTGTTCTGTATAAAATATATGCAGCACAACCCAACTGGTAATTGTGCTTTTGATTTAGCAACATTTTGTGGGGGCTAACAAATCCCACAAAATTGTGCAACATGTAATATTTGTATATAGTCTGTATTTATTGACTTCCAACCACTATCACCCTGAAACTTTCTCTTCGTCCACCTGCATGTCGTAAAACTTATCTTTTGTTCACCCTTCCCAATAATTCTTATCCTTCGAAGATTTCGAGTACCTTCTAAGAACTCTTTCGACACAACCGTTTCACCGCTCTCTACCAACCTGTCTTTTCATTTTCAAAATCACAGACTCTAACACTCTTCCCTTATCTACTGAACCGACAACATAAAAAATAAATACACCACGAACGCAAGTCCTGTTTTAATCATTTGATCACACCACAATTCTTATCTGCTAATCAAGATATTTCCAATTTAAGTGAGAGGTACAACATCCCCACCATAATTAATAATTCCCAACCACCTCATAATGCCCTAAAAATAGATGGGATAGAGTACAAAGAGTTTGATTTAGCTGAACAAAATATCTTACGATAAATATGTGGACACTCAGTGGATGCATGCTTAAAACACTCTTCTCACATATGCTGTGAATATACAAATGCATGTGGCAGAAATTCTAGAGACTACATTATTGTCGTTTCCAAGCCCACAATTCTGAAACTTTATCTTATGGCAATCTTAATGTTCCGTATGAACAGTTTGCATATTACATTGAACAATTAGAAAATGCCTTCAGTAGTTCATTTGAACATAATACACTTTTGCTTCAAGTTCCTAGAGAACTTAAAAATCAGCTGGCCTTAATAGCATCCATGTAGTAATCTCCCCCTTGATTATCTCTGGTAAACACAGGCATTTCGCGCGTATTTTGCGACGTTTTTCTGTATTCCACGTGCCTTTTAGAAAGTTAGGGGGTGCACGTTATTTTATAAATATTTTTATAAAGTTACAACGATGCCTTGTGCCGTTTTTGGGTGTAATAGCGATAATCAATCAAAACATTTTCGGAACGACATAAAATTTTATTCGTTTCCAAGGGACAATGTTACAAGACAATTATTATGGGTTATTTCTTGTTGTCGTTCGGACTCTTTTACAGTAAAAAATGCAAGAGTGTGTTCGCAGCATTTTAGTGAAAACGATTTTGAACGCAATTTGCAACACGAACTTTTGAATTATCTCCCTAAAAAAGGTTAAAAAAAACTAAAGTCTGGAACTGTGCCTTCGTTATATCCTCCTAAAAGCAAAACAATCAAACTTAATAACAATATGGGGTATAAAATTTAACACGGGGATCACTATGGCCACTTTTAAAAATGATGCACACACACGGTTCAATAGTAGGTACATTGTATTTATTTTTAGTAGTTATTAAAAATTCTTATTTTTAAGTTCAGATTATGTGGTAAAATGTTGTTTTTGTCAATTGTGTCGAAACCATTTTTTGTTCTATTAATAAAAGATTGTTTTACAAGTAGTAAAAGTGGTCGTTTTAATGGAAGGTTTAATTATCGAAGGGAGCGAAAAAGAAAAATCACATTTTTCTTATATGTTGAGCATGTTATTTTTTCGTGTACTCAGTTTTTCAAAGTTTAAAACAGAATTTCTAAAGTAGATTCCAATTTACGATAATTATGTTTGCGTTAAATGTGAACAATTACCATCACAACAAGTATGTTCATGATAATCAAATAAAACCATAAAAAAGCAAAAAATGGATAATTCTGAAGATCTTGGCATTTTCAGATAATCTGCAGAAGCCATTGCGAATGTAGTGCCCGTAAAATAGTAGGAAAAGTATGAAAGGTGTTACAAATACTTTGCTGAATGATTGAGAAGAACAAAAAATTCAAATAAAGCGGACGAGACATCAGTTATGCTGAATGGTTGGAAAAGTGTTACTAACGAGAAAAATAGCACTTTTTATAATCATCTCCAAATTAAAGCCGCATTTTTCTATTGAAGAGCTACGTCAAAAACGAATACGGAATCGTGATCCTGAGGAAAATCCGCGTAAAATGACACCCAACACGGTCGAAAACGGACCAACTTTGAAAATTTCAAAATTTGCATTTTTCTCGCTTATTTGAAGAGATACGTCAAAAACGAATGCGGAATCGTGATCCTGAGGAAATTCCGCTTAAAATGACACCCAACACGGTCGAAAACGGACCAATTTTGAAAATTCCAAAATTTGGATTTTTCTCGCTTATTTGAAGAGATACGTCAAAAACGAATACGGAATCGTGATCCTGAGGAAAATCCGCGTAAAATGACACCCAACACGGTCGAAAACAGACCAATTTTGAAAATTCCAAAATTTGCCATTTTCTCGCTTATTTGAAGAGACACGTCAAAAACGAATGCGGAATCGTGATCCTGAGGAAATTCCGCTTAAAATGACACCCAACACGGTCGAAAACGGACCGATTTTGAAAATTCCAAAATTTGGATTTTTCTCGCTTATTTGAAGAGATACGTCAAAAACGAATACGGAATCGTGATCCTGAGGAAAATCCGCGTGAAATGACACCCAACACGGTCGAAAGCGGACCGATTTTGAAAATTTCAAAATTTGCATTTTTCTCGCTTATTTGAAGAGATACGTCAAAAACGAATGCGGAATCGTGATCCTGAGGAAATTCCGCGTAAAATGACACCCAACACGGTCAAAACTAACCAATTTTGAAAATTTCAAAATTTGCCATTTTCTCGCTTATTTGAAGAGATACGTCAAAAACGAATGCGGAATCGTGATCCTGAGGATATTCCGCGTGAAAAGACACCCAACACGGTCGAAACCAGACCAATTTTGAAAATTCCAAATTTTGCCATTTTCTCGCTTATTTGAAGAGATACGTCAAAAACGAATGCGGAATCGTGATCCTGAGGAAATTCCGCTTAAAATGACACCCAACACGGTCGAAAACGGACCGATTTTGAAAATTCCAAAATTTGGATTTTTCTCGCTTATTTGAAGAGATACGTCAAAAACGAATACGGAATCGTGATCCTGAGGAAAATCCGCGTGAAATGACACCCAACACGGTCGAAAGCGGACCGATTTTGAAAATTTCAAAATTTGCATTTTTCTCGCTTATTTGAAGAGATACGTCAAAAACGAATGCGGAATCGTGATCCTGAGGAAATTCCGCGTAAAATGACACCCAACACGGTCAAAACTAACCAATTTTGAAAATTTCAAAATTTGCCATTTTCTCGCTTATTTGAAGAGATACGTCAAAAACGAATGCGGAATCGTGATCCTGAGGATATTCCGCGTGAAAAGACACTCAACACGATCGAAAACGGACCAATTTTGAAAATTCCAAAATTTGCATTTTTCTCGCTTATTTGAAGAGATACGTCAAAAACGAATACGGAATCGTGATCCTGAGGAAAATCCGCTTAAAATGACACCCAACACGGTCGAAAACGGACCAATTTTGAAAATTTCAAAATTTGCATTTTTCTCGCTTATTTGAAGAGATACGTCAAAAACGAGTACGGAATCGTGATCCTGAGGAAATTCCGCGTGAAATGACACTCAACACGGTCGAAAACGGACCAATTTTGAAAATGTCAAAATTTGCCATTTTCTCGCTTATTTGAAGAGATACGTCAAAAACGAATACGGAATCGTGATCCTGAGGAAAATCCGCGTAAAATGACACCCAACACGGTCGAAAACGGACCAATTTTGAAAATTCCAAAATTTGCATTTTTCTCGCTTATTTGAAGAGATACGTCAAAAACGAATACGGAATCGTGATCCTGAGGAAATTCCACGTAAAATGACACCCAACACGGTCGAAAACGGACCAATTTTCAAAATTCCAAAATTTGCCATTTTCTCGCTTATTTGAAGAGATACGTCAAAAACAAATACGGAATCGTGATTCTGAGGAAAATCCGCGTAAAAATGACACCCAACACGGTCGAAAACAGACCAATTTTGAAAATTCCATAATTTGCATTTTTCTCGCTTATTTGAAGAGATACGTCAAAAACGAATACGGAATCGTGATCCTGAGGAAATTCCGCGTGAAAAGACACTCAACACGGTCGAAAACGGACCAATTTTGAAAATTTCAAAATTTGCATTTTTCTCGCTTATTTGAAGAGATACGTCAAAAACGAATACGGAATCGTGATCCTGAGGAAATTCTGCGTGAAATGACACCCAACACGGTCGAAAACAGACCAATTTTGAAAATTCCAAAATTTGCATTTTTCTCGCTTATTTGAAGAGATACGTCAAAAACGAATACGGAATCGTGATCCTGAGGAAAATCCGCGTAAAATGACACCCAACACGGTCGAAAACGGACCAATTCCAAAATTTGCCATTTTCTCACTTATTTGAAGAGATACGTCAAAAACGAATACGGAATCGTGATTCTGAGGAAAATCCGCGTAAAATGACACCCAACACGGTCGAAAACGGACCAATTTTGAAAATTTCAAAATTTGCATTTTTCTCGCTTATTTGAAGAGATATGTCAAAAACGAGTACGGAATCGTGATCCTGAGGAAATTCCGCGTGAAATGACACTCAACACGGTCGAAAACGGACCAATTTTGAAAATTTCAAAATTTGCCATTTTCTCGCTTATTTGAAGAGATACGTCAAAAACGAATACGGAATCGTGATCCTGAGGAAAATTAGCGTAAAATGACACCCAACAGGGTCGAAAACGGACCAATTTTGAAAACTTCAAAATTTGCATGTTTCTCGCTTATTTGAAGAGATACGTCAAAAACGAATGCGGAATCGTGATCCTGAGGATATTCCGCGTGAAAAGACACTCAACACGATCGAAAACGGACCAATTTTGAAAATTCCAAAATTTGCATTTTTCTCGCTTATTTGAAGAGATACGTCAAAAACGAATACGGAATCGTGATCCTGAGGAAAATCCGCTTAAAATGACACCCAACACGGTCGAAAACGGACCAATTTTGAAAATTTCAAAATTTGCATTTTTCTCGCTTATTTGAAGAGATACGTCAAAAACGAGTACGGAATCGTGATCCTGAGGAAATTCCGCGTGAAATGACACTCAACACGGTCGAAAACGGACCAATTTTGAAAATTTCAAAATTTGCCATTTTCTCGCTTATTTGAAGAGATACGTCAAAAACGAATACGGAATCGTGATCCTGAGGAAAATCCGCGTAAAATGACAGCCAACACGGTCGAAAACGGACCAACTTTGAAAATTCCAAAATTTGCATTTTTCTCGCTTATTTGAAGAGATACGTCAAAAACGAATACGGAATCGTGATCCTGAGGAAATTCCGCGTGAAAAGACACTCAACACGGTCGAAAACGGACCAATTTTGAAAATTTCAAAATTTGCATTTTTCTCGCTTATTTGAAGAGATACGTCAAAAACGAATACGGAATCGTGATCCTGAGGAAATTCTGCGTGAAATGACACCCAACACGGTCGAAAACAGACCAATTTTGAAAATTCCAAAATTTGCATTTTTCTCGCTTATTTGAAGAGATACGTCAAAAACGAATACGGAATCGTGATTCTGAGGAAAATCCGCGTAAAATGACACTCAACACGGTCGAAAACGGACCAATTTTGAAAATTTCAAAATTTGCCATTTTCTCGCTTATTTGAAGAGATACGTCAAAAACGAATACGGAATCGTGATCCTGAGGAAAATCCGCGTAAAATGACACCCAACACGGTCGAAAACGGACCAATTTTGAAAATTCCAAAATTTGCATTTTTCTCGCTTATTTGAAGAGATACG